CCATGGGGTGAGAGAAGGAGGAAAACAAAGGGAGCAGAGGAGAAGAATGTAGGCCAACTGGAGACTTCAGGAAGTATCAGAAAGGACAGCAGCCCTCAGGATCCTGTTGTTGAGATCCCAGGGTAAATAGCCAACATTGGCCAAAAGAACTCCAGCTTCTTTTAGATGACCTGTCCCTGCAAATGAAGACAGCCCCTTTTGACTTGATGGAATCCTAAAGCTGCCCTCAGCCCCAGTATTCCAACTTCCCTATAGGCCACACTGAGCAGCTTGCCCACCACTCCCAGATCCACTCCACGTGTTGAACAGGTGTGTTCTTGTACTCAACCACAATCACATCATCCATTTAGCCCAAGACAGAATCACAATACCTTACTATCCCTCTTGAACAGACAGGACCATAATAGCTAGCCAATCAGAAAGCAGCATGACCAGGATGTTTGACCACTGAACCATAGAAAGGACCCCTCCTCTATCACCTAATCCTTTAACAAGCCCCTCCTGTGCAGTGCTGCAGGGATCTAGCTATGCTTGGTTCTGTACTATCTAACAGTTTTCTCAGGCCTTTAGATAACGGCATGGATGACATGCATAGCAACTCTACAAAGCTGCGAGAGATACTAACACACTGAATGACAATCAAGATTCATAAAGTTCTTCACAGGCTAGAACATTGGCCTAAATAAAATAAGATGGAAGTTCATTAGGGATGATTTTGAGTTTTACACTTACAGTCAAAGAATCAACTTTACAAATTCAAGATGGGGGAGAGGTGACTAGACAGCTATTAGTCCAAAAAAGACCTGGAGGCAATAGGGAACTTCAGGCTCAAGCAATAGCCTCAACTGGTAGCCAGGAAAATGAATGCAATCTCAGTGTGAGTTAATAGAAGCATAATAAAAAAAAAGGGGGAGGCAGTCAGTCAGTGAACATTTACTAAGTACCCACTATATACCAGGCACTGTGCTAAGCACTGGAGGTGTATACACAAAAAAGGAAGACAGCCCTTATCCTCAAGGAGTTTACAATCTAATGGCTGGAAACAACACACAAAAGGAAGCTGATAAAGAGGGGGAGGTGCCTTAGTGTAGGGTCATGATAGAACCCAGTCCAAAGGAATGCAGCTGGTGGGAAATGAAGAGATGGCTAACCTAGAGGGCTTCTTTAAATAGAGGACTGGGAGTTCTTCCCTCTGCCCTCAGTCCTCCAATCAGTGGGGCAGTACTGAGTGTACTGATATGATGTGAGCAGCAAAGCTGATGCAGTCTCACAGGATGATGAATTTCCTGGTAATGAGGTTTTCTGGGGCCATCAAGGGATCAAATCAAAGGAGTACAGGTGGTGAGAAATAGGACAATAAAGAGGAAAGTGGTTACTAGTCCAAGGTCCAAATGTCTCTTGGCTAATGGAAATATTAGCATAGTATAGCTGAGAACACAGAAAAACATGTTTTACTCTTCAGTTAAGGTTGATTTAGGAAGCTGGAACCCTTTTCAAAAATAGAAGCACATTAATAATTGCTTACATTTGAAAGGGTAATAACAAAATATAGAACAACCTTGGGAGAAGGTACTATTATTATCCCCATTTTACAGATGAGGAAATGGTAGTTCCTACGGTTCAGACAAGTTGTGACCTGCCCAGGTTCACGCAGCTAGTAAGTGTCTTAGGAAAAATTTCAACCTGGCTTTTCCAAACTCCAGAGACCTTCTTGGTAGTTAGAGATGGGGGAGAATTGATGGAGAGTGGAAGAAATATGAAAACAAGGGCTTCACAGTACAATGTGATTTTCTCTTTATGTTTTTATTTACATTTATGTAATTATTACAATAAATAACTGAATTATAGAATATATAACCACATACAATATATAGCACACATTTATATATAAGTATATAAAGTATATAATTTATAAATAAATATATAAATACCATTATATATTTGTGTGTGTACACATACACCCATATTTACCATAACCATGATGAGAAAGAAAGAAGTCAAAGGGAGTAGTTAGAAAACAACTCAATAACTTTGGTTTGATAACTTAGCAGCATGCCACTAAAGGTTTGGCAGCTAGAGAAAGGAAGTTTCCTACATAAGGCCCTTCATGATGCCCCCACCACCAGGTTTGTAGAGTTCTCTGCCACTCCATCTGCAAAGTTATTTTGTGTTTAGACTTACATATGTCATATCTTCTCTTTCTGCATAGGTGGAATGTCCCCAAAGTAGATAGCAAACTCCTGAGGGTGAGAAATCTTCACTGTGGTCTAGATCCACAGCACCTTGCACGGTGCCTTACACGTAGCAAGCATTTACCAAATGCATTTTGAGATTGACTGGCATTCTGGGAGTTGTAGTTCACAGGAATAAGCATTCTCTCTCAGCTATGAGAAAGCATTGCAAACTATAGCAAGCCATCCAGAAGGTGGACTTGAGGCACAACTGTGAGTTTTAGAAAAGATGCACCATCTGTGAGAGAAAGGAGTGTGGACGACAGACCCCTGCAAACAGTGGCAAGGGAGGACATGATGTCCTCTCCTTCCACAGGACTCCAGGAGCTAAACTGAAAAGGAGCAGCAACATAGGGAAAATGATTAAAGAGAAAAGATAGCTGAGCTACAAGAGAAGAGAGAGACCCAAGTGGTCTGTCAGGACCCTGCAGACCTCTTGGAACAAAGAAGTCAGACTGAGAGGCTGCACATCATTGTCTCTGCAAGATCTAACGCAAATGCCAAATGAATGAGTCTACTCTTTTCCCAGCTTCCCCTTCCACATTTTGTTCTTCATACACACACACACACACACACACACACACAAATATACACATACACACATACAAATATACACATACACACACACACACACACACATACATACCTACAACCCAAGGTCAGTTCATTACCAAGAAAAGGGAAATGGAGAAAGTTATGTGGAAATATACAAAATTTATATTAGAACACAGAGCCAAAGTTCTATCCAAATGATAGGAATTTTTCTAACTGGAGACTCTGTGCTATTATAATTGTATCAATAATTTTCCATCTGACATAAACTCCATAAAAAAAAGCAGAGAAAGACACAATGTGGGCCTGAGAACCATTACATTTTTCCTAGGCTAAAAGAAAGCTCTTTTTAAAAAAAAAATAAGATGAAGCTGATTAAATCTCTAGAGAAAATGGGGTTGGGAGGGACAAAGGTGAGGAAAGACAAGGAAAAAGTCATGCCCTACACCACCCCTGCTCTGTCCAGGGAGGAAATAGGTGGGGCATCAGAAGGATTCAGCTCTGCTCCTTTCCAGAATAGAAAGAACTGAGTACTAGGTGGACAACACTGCCCTCCAGAGCCACTTTCACTGGTGTTACAAATGAAGGAATGAGTCACAGTAATCTTTGCCGTGTCTCCATGCCAATATCTTGGCCAAATATGAACACTGATTCCTGTCCTCTGGTCACCGGCTCTCCCATGTCAGTTTTCTCTGGTTTCATCATTCACAAGTGTCAACAAAATAATTCTCTCCCATTCCTAACTATCCTGCAATTAATCCTCCAGCTGGTTTTCCTAACCTTTGCTCCAACAAATGGTAATGCCTCTCTTCAATCTGCCACTTTATCTTTGCCTTTTCCTGGCACCGAGTTATTTGAAGCACCTTGTGGGAAGGTCTCATATAACTCTGATACATAGCACAGGGCCTAACTCCTCACAGATGTCCATGCTAATAGCCCAGAATGATGTTGCCAAAGAGGAGATGGATCTCAATTGGCTCATTTGGTGACTATGGAAAGTTTAAGATAACTTAAGCCTACTAAGAGTTTTCTTCAGAGCCTCCTTCACCTCCTTGTTCCTCAGGCTGTAGATGAGAGGGTTCAGCATAGGGATCACTGCAGTGTAGAACACAGACACCACCTTGTCCTCTTCTAGAGATTTTTCTGACTTGTTGCGTACATACATGAATGCAAGGGTCCCAAAGAACAGCCCAACAGCAGCCATGTGAGAGGCACAAGTGGAAAAGGTCTTGGCCCTCCCACTAGCAGAGTGGATCTGTAGTATGGCTCTGATGATGAACAGATAGGACACCAAGATCATGGCCAGGCTGACCAGGATCACAAAACAAGCAAATAGCAGAATCAAGAGTTCTTGTAAGAAAGTGTCCCCACAGGACAGCTCCAGCAGGGGTGGGAGGTCACAGAAAATAAAGTTGATGTGGTTGTCATCACAGAAGGAGAGTGAGAATGTGCAGCTGGTCCTTAAAATAGCATTAGCCAAGCCCCCAATGTAGGCCCCAGTTAGCAACTTCAGCCTTGGCTTGGGTGTCATAATGGTGACATAGAGTAGAGGCTGACACACGGCCACATAGCGGTCATATGCCATGAGAGCCAGAAGGTAGCAATCAGTGGAGCCAAAGAAAGTGAACATGAAGAATTGAGTAGCACATTGTTCATAAGAGAGCACAGCTCTGCCAGAGACTAAGGTCACCAGGAGCTGAGGTAACACCGTTGTGGAGAAGCAGACATCTAGGAAAGCCAGCTGTCTGAGCAGGAAGTACATGGGCGTGTGGAGACCAGGATTAGTCCAGATCAAGGTGATCATGCTCAGGTTGCCCAGCAGCACCATGAGGTAAAAAGCCAGAAACACTATGAGCAGAAGAGACTCCAGCTCAGGGTGGGTGGTGAAACCAAGCAGGATGAACTCCTTTACAATGGTGCCATTTCCAATAGCCATGAGGTTAGGGACTGTAGCTGAGGAAAAGAGGAGATTCAGGTCAGGATCATACTGAAACCATTGTGGACTATGATGAATTGGTGGGAAGGTGTAGGCTGGGGTCAAGACGGGTCCGAGCAGGGGCAGCTAGGTGGCACAGTGGATAGAGCACCGGCCCTGGATTCAGGAGTACCTGAGTTCAAATCCGACCTCAGACACATAACACTTACTAGCTATGTGACTCTGGGCAAGTCACTTCACCACATTGCCTAACCAAAAAAAAAAAAAGATGGGTCCAAGCGATGAGTTCTGTCATCCAGGAACTTGGTATGGCCATGGATTTCAAACTTTGCCCAAAGTAAGATCTTAATAAATGCTCATTGAGTTGCTGTAAATCTAGTCCAAGTCCTTCGTTTTGTAGAGGAGGAAACTGAGACCCAGGGAGGTTAAATTGTTATATAATAATAACAACAACCACAACAACCAACATTTACATAGTACTTTATAAACATCATCTCATTTTATTCTCACAATAACCCTGCAGGGTAAGTGCTATTACCTCCATTTTACAAGTGAGGTAATTGAAGCAGGCAGAGGTTAAGTGTTTTTCCCCAAGGTCACACAGCTAAGAAATATCTGAGGCTGAATTTGAGCTCAGGTCTTCCTGACTCCAGGCCCAGCATGTTATCTCTTGCACCGCCCAGAGGTAGATTTGAATACTGGTCTTCTGATTGCACATCCAATGCTCTTGTCATTACTCTGTGCTGAAGACTGAGCATAGTCTTAAGGAGTCAAGCCAACAGTACTTACTAAGCAGCTATTATGTGCCAAGCACTGTGCAAAGCACTGAGGATACAAAGAAAGATAAAAGATAGTCCCAGTTCTCAAGGAGTTTATAATCTAGGCCAAATCCTAGGGTTTTCTACCACTGGCCCACTTTCCTTGGTTTCCCTATTTCCCATTTTCATTGATCAGCACAATTCTTTAGAAAGGGGCTCAGATTGCTCCCAGGATGGGAGAATGCAATATAAGAGCTTGCATATCCCAGAACCCTTGAGGTTTGGTACTCCCCCAAGTCTTAGCTGTCTGGTCACTGGTGGAGCCTCTGATCCCACTTCACATGATACAAGAAAGGTCAGTTCATCTCTCTGAACCTCAGTTTTGTCAAACCTGTAGAAAAGATATAGGCTTAAAGGAAATAAGGTATATAAAGTGCATTAGCAACTTAAATATGAGATACTATTATTGTTGTTGCAATGCATCTTAGGCAGATGACTTGGATGGAGATAGTAGGGTAACACTATTTAAATTAGCTGCTGACAGAAAGATATGTGACTGGACAAAGATTCAGAATTATTAACCAGACAGACCATGAGAATGGCTAAATCCAACAAAACACTATTCAGCTGTCATAAACATAATGTTTTTGCACTTTTGTAACAAAAACCTTTATAAGAGTGGGATGGGGGAAATGATTAGAAAATGGTTCAAGTCATAATGACTTTGAAGTGTGAGTTTACTCCAGGACGAATATGAGCAGAGAAGGGGACACAGCAACAGCTGAAAGAGGTCCCAGGAAGAAAACTTACAGGAATGTCAGAGTCAACTTTCAAAAGCCCAGGTTAAGGAGGAAAATATTGCAAACAACAAGAAAAATAATAAATACTCTAGGAAAACAGTCAGGAATTCACAAGACCTAGTAGCTTCTATACCAAAAGACCATAGGTCTTGGAACATTATGTTTCAATAAGCAAAGAGGCTGGGGTTGCATCCAAGAATAACTTACCCAGCAAAGTTGAGTGTAATCCTAAATGGGGGGAAAAAAATGGATATTTGATGAACTGAAAGACTTGCAGGTATTGGTATTAAAAAGGCCAGAAATTAATGGAAAATTTTGATATAAAAGATCCAGAAGAAATATAAGGAAAATATTAAAGACTAATTATATGGCAATCATTAATGTCAAATTGTTTTCTTAAGATATATGAAAATGTTATCAGTGTTCTTGAAACTGTCATAATTATTAAGGTAGTTTGAAAGAAAGGTTGGGGCTGACTTTTGTATGATAAGGTGATTCTAAAAACAAAATTGGGTAGGAAAAGGTAAAAGAGAGAAATTATTTCATAAAAAAGGGCATGAAAAGAAGAACTAATACAGAAGAAGCAACTAGGGGTCAAGGGCTGGTAATGTTGGAACCTTACTCTCATCTGAGTTGAAGAATAAATAAAGTATACATCTGAAGAGGTTTAAAAGTCTGAACTTCTAGAGAAGTGAGAAAACTGCAGCGTAGAGAAAACTGCAGGCCAGAATGGGGGAGGGACTTTTAGAATGGTGTGTAGATTAAGATTAGGAGGCAGGAGAAAATAAGGGAGGGACTTTTAGAGGGGTGGGTAAAATAGGCAATGAGGGTAAGGGTTAAAAGAGGCTGAGAAGGAAAATAGTGAGTAAAAATAAGATGAAGAGAAATTCACAAATAGGCAAATAGTAATCATAACTTTGAATGTGAATGGGATGAATTCACCCATAAAACAGAAATGGATAACAGAATGGATTAAAAATCAGAATGCAACACTATATTGTTTGCAAGAAACACATTTAGGAATGAAGGACACACACAGAATTAAACTGGAGGGTTGGAGTAGAATTTATTATGCTTCAGCTGATATAAAAAAGGCAGAGGTAGCAATTATGATCTCAAACAAAGTTATAACTAAAGTAGATTTATTTAAGAGATAAACAGGGTAACCACATTTTAATAAAAAGGCACCATAGACAATGAAACAATATAAATATTGAACGCATATGCACCAAATACTATAGCATCTAAATTTTTAGAAGAAAAGTTAAATGAATTACAGGTGGAGATAGATAATATTACTATAATAGTAGGGAACTTTAATCTTCCCCTCTCAGAGCTACATAACCAAAGAAAACAAATAAGAAAGAAGTTAACAAAGTGAATAGAATTTTAGATAAGTAAAATACGATAGATATTTGGAGAAAATTGAATGGAAATAGAAAGGAATACACATTTTTCTCAGTGGTTTATGGTACATTTACATGTACCAAGATTGATCATACATTAGCACATAAAATTTTATAGTTAAAATCAGAAATATTAAAAGTATGATCTGTTCAGATCATAATATAATAAAAATTGTATTTAATAAGGGACCAAGGAAACATATATTAAAAACTAACTGGAGACTAAACAACATAATCTTTAAAAATGAGTGGGTTAAAGAACAAATCATAGAAACAATCAATAATTTCATTAAAGAGAATGACAATACTGAGATATCATATCAAAACCTATGGGATACAGGAAAAGCAGTGTTTAGAGGAAAGTTCATATTTCTAAATGCTTGCATCAATAAAAGAAAGGAAGAGCAGATGAATGAATTTGGTATATAATTTTAAAAACCAGAAAAAGTACAAATTAAAAATCCCAATTAATGCAAAATTGGAAATCCTAAAAATTGAAGATGAGATTAATAAAATTGAGAGGGAAGTATTGAATTAATAAATAAAACTAAGAAATGGTTTTATGAATAAGCAAATAAAATGGGTAAGCAATTAGCTTATTTGATTTTAAAAAGAGAGGAAACCAAATCACTAATATCAAAAATGAAAAGAGTGAATATAACACCAAAAAAATGAAATTAAAGTAATTATAAAGACATATTTTGCCTAATTATATGCCAATAAATTTAACAACTTAAGTAAATGGAAAAATATTTGTAAAAATATAAATTCCTACATTAGCAGAAGAAAAAATAGAATATCTAAATAAACATATTATAGAAAAAGAAATTTAATAGCCTATAAATGAGCTACCTAAGAAAAGAGCACCAGAACCAGATGTATTTACAAGTGAGTTCTATGAAATAACTAATTCCAATAAATTAATTATTTGGAATAATAGACAAAAAAGAGATCCTACCAAACTCCTTTTATAAAACAAGTGTTATATTAATACCTAAAGGATGAGTAAAAACAGAATAAAAAATTGTAAATGAATTTCATTAATGAATATGGGTGCAAAAAACCCTAAATAAAATACTAGCTGAAAGATACTTTGTTACAAAGATTATACATTAAGATCAATTGGGATTTATAACAGGAATGCAGAGATAGTTAAACATAAGGAAAACTATTAACATAATTGATTACATTAATAATAAAAGGTTTTTTTTAATCTCATATCAATAGATGCAGAAAAAGCTTTTGGCAAAGTTCAATATTCATTTCTATTAAAAACACTTGGAACTATTGGCATAAGTGGATTTTGTTCTTTAAATTGATAAAAAAGCATTTATCTATAACCATCAGCAACCATTGTTGTAATGGGGATAAACTAGAAGCCTTTCCAGTAAGATCAGGTGTGAAATAAGGATGCCCACTGTCATCAATATTATTCAGTATTGTATTGGAAATCTTATCAATAGCAATAAGAGAAGAAAAAGAGATAGAAAAATTCCAAATAGGGAATGAGGTAATAAAATTATCACTTTTGCAGATGATATGATGATTTACTTGGAAAATCCCAAAGACTCAACTAAAAAATTAGTTGAAACAAGTAATGATTTTAGCAAAGTAGCAGGATATAAAGTAAGGTCCACATAAATCATCAGAATTCCTATATATCACAAACAAAACTATGCAAGAAGAGATAGTAAAAGATATCCCATTAAAAATAACTCCAGACAATATAAACACCTGGGAGTATGCCTGCCAAAACAAACCCAGGAACTACATGAACAAAATTATTTTTAAAAAATAACTTTTTTGTACAAATAAAGTCAGATTTAAATTATTAGAGAACTATTAATTTCTCATAGGTTGGCAGAATCAATATAATGAAAATGACAATTTTACCTAAACTAAATTATATATTCAACACCATTCTAATTGAATTGCCAAAAACTTATTTTATTAAATTAGAAAAAATATACAAAATTCATTTGGAAAAACAGAAGTCAAGCCTATCAATGGAAATTATGAAAAAACATATAAAGGAAGGAGGTTTAGCAGTACCCGAGCTTAAACTGTAAGTAGTAATTCTCAAAATTATCTGACACTGTCTAAGAAATAGAAAGGTAGATCAAGGGAACAGAATAGACATACAATTTACATCAAATAAACATAATATCTTTGTATTTGACAAGTCTAAAGACTTAAGATTTTGGGATAATAATTTGGGATAATAATTCATTATTTGAAATAAAATAAATATTGGGAAACTGGAAAGCAGTACAGCAGAAAAATGACACAGACCAATATCTTATACCGTTTACCAAGATCAAAATGGGTACATGATTAGATATAAAGAGAAATATTACAAGAAAATTAGGACAT